TCTGTGGGGCTGTCAACAGACTGTTTTGGATTTTTCTGCCTGCTCACAAACCAGGCTGAAATTTGTGGTCACTGGATCTGCAGTTGCTCGTCTGTTTTACCTTGCACTTATAATTGAATGCACAGATATGACCCTTCAACTCACTGTTGCAGCAATGCCAGCTACACTGTAATTACAGTGCAGGCAACCAGATCTGTCCAGCATTTGTATACACAGCCCTAAGCTTGCTGGGTTGGCATTTGCTTAGTTAACCCTTAGTTATACCTGTGTGGAAGCCTATCCTTTTAATATACTGTACTTGGTGTGCCTCATTTATCCACTAACTGTACCAGTCTAAGGATACATCAAGGCAGTCTGGGTAGAAGCACCAATAGGGAGAACAACTCATACCAATTTGACTGAAGCCAATATATTGAATCAAACAAGATAATTCTGTTTTCATTCTGAATTTTCAGTTACTTAAAAGGTTAATATCAGGGGTCATCCAACCTGGTTCTGTAGAGGCTTTCTATAGACAATATTTAAATTGTCAGTTTCCAAATGCTGGGAAAAAATGTACATGTAATCAATTAAGCATCTGATTAGTCAAGGTAAGTGATTTAAAGGTTTATTTAGAAACAAAATTGCAATACCCCCTAGGATCAGTTTCCTTAATTGACAGATAAGCTACATTAACTTATAGTTACGTTAACTTTAAAAATAGGTGATTAAGGTGACCTATAAGATTTACTGGATAGAGGCTCTCTAGGACCATAATTTTAAATAAGTATTTTATTTATTAATCTGTTCTTTGTAATGAGAATTCCGCTGAATATACTGTATTCTGAATCATTTTGGGAATCCAAAAAGAATTTTAAACATTTAACCAATTAATCCATTTGGGTGAGATATAACGAGACAATGTGATACACAGGAAAAATATGAACTTATGTTCCCTTTTTTACGCTCCTTGTCACCTCCTACACCTTGACCAGCTGTAGCACTGTCTGGTTTGGGAATTGCAGCGCTTCAGACCACAAGAACCTGCGACGAATTGTGGAAGCAGTTGAAAAGAGCATTGGAGCCTCCCTTCCGTTTCTGTCACCTATCACAAAGGCTGCTGACACAGGGCCTCCAGTATAGTAGATGAGCCCTCCCACCCCTCCCATAAACTCTTTGCCCTCCTACCATCTGGAAAAAGATATCGCAGTGTACGGGCCAGCTCCACCAGACTCTGTTACAGCTCCTTCCCGCAGGCTGCCAGGCTCCTCAACACCCTGGAATCTACTTGCACCCACCCCAATTCCAGAAACAGGGTTTAAATCCCCCCAGTGTGTTGTGTATATTGTATTATGTATTTGCCTGAGTAATTTGCACTCTGCACTATGTGTATCCCGTCTACAATGTCTATGTCAGTGTCCTGTCTGTATTTGCACCGTGGACCAGGAGGAACGATATTTCATTCCACTGTATACTTGTATATGGCTGGAATGACAAATAAGCGTGAACTTGAACTTGAGCTCCTGAGTGTGAAATGACAATGCAGGAAGTGTGATAAGATGTGTGTGCTTGTCTGAATGGGGATTGGGCACATATAAAAAGCCTGAATAGCACCGCAGTCATGTCGCCTTCTAATGAAAGACAGGGAGAATGTGCTCTAGCAATGCTGTTTTCAGGAATGTTGCAGTGGGACATCACCTGGCCACTCACTCAGGCCAAAGATATTCACCACCTCTTTCTACAGCTCCAGAGACTTCAAGACTTCCAGTTATCACATCCCGTGTTTTAAAAATAACACTAGAAACCTTAAGAATCGCTCCCTATCTACAATGGCTGTGAACTAAACTTTAAAGAAATACCACTGTCTTTAAAGAAATACCACTGTCAAATATTTCTAGTTCAACAAACATTTAATTGTGTCTTGCAGCCTTTACAGACCCTTCTCGTTGTGTCCCATCATTACAAAATGATGCAAATTATTTTTTACACTTAATATTTTACTCATATATAAATTCTTAAACTAAAGCCTTCTGAGGATATGTTATATCACAAAAACTTCAGCAGAACCAAAAGAGAAACAAACTACAACATGTTGATTGCAAATGGGTAGATTGCAGACCCATAAAATCAATATTTAGTGAAAGCACCTCTGGCAGTAATTGCAGTGGCTTACAGTCATTTTGGGTAAATCTCTACCGCACAAGATCTAGGTGCAGTTTTTGCCCAATGTTCTTTGTGAATTTTCTCAAGGCTTCTTGAGTTGCTTTAGGATCGCTCGTGGACAGCAGTCTTTCAGTGTTTTCACAGATTCTCAATAGGATTCCCCTCAGAGATTTGACTGGGCCACTCGAGGACATTCATTTTCCTATTCATCCCTGCACAGCTACACAAACTACAGCTTTGGCCTTGTGCTTTTGGTCATTGTCCTGCTAAGAAAGTGGATTTTTGTCCCATTTTATTCCCATCAGTATTAACAAGTTCTCTAATTGCTTCTGATGAGAAAAAGAACTATAACATAATACTGTAACCATCATGCTGGACAGAAGGGGGTGGGTGAATGCTGCACCATGTTAGGTTTGCATCTGATGTAAAACTAATTTGATTTAGACCATATTTAGCCTGCATTTAAACCAAACTTTTCCATTTTTTTTCCTGTCAGGATACAAAACCTTTTGTCAATATCACAAAGGTGTTTTGTTGGAAACGCTATGTCTGACTTGAGATGTTTTGTTTTTTTTATTATTTCATACAAGCCCCCTTTGTGAAGTGATCTGAATACTGTTTTCTCCCATCTGAGCCACTGAACTCCATGACTCTTTAAAAGTAGTTGTTAACCTCATAGTGGCATTCCTAACCAGTTTCCTCCTTGCCCTGCTGCTCAGCTTGGAAGTACAACCTTATTTATCTCGGCGTTTTCCACTTCTTAACGATTAGATTAACCGTTCGCCAGCAGAAAATGGAGAGAAACAAAACGTGCGCTTCTGACTCTCCACTCTGTTAGGTTCACGATCAACAATATGGCACTGTACTTCCTGGAACTGCAATACAACAGTTGACCAGCAGATGGCTCACAAAGCACACTCATTATACTAAAAAAAGACCTTTAAATGAAAATAATCAAATGCTGGTTTGGGTGTGCGTCATACATTAAAGAGAAAAAAATAGTCGTGAAGGCTGAGAAGACTCTTCTGTTGTGAGGTTATGTATTCTAGAGGCAAGTATGGCTTTATGTGATCATCATTTCTATCTCTGTTGATAGTTCTTTGTCTTTGTATTAGAAGTGGCCAGATCAGGTATTAGGTCACATGTCTTTTTTCAGAAGAGTCGTCTTTTTGTTGTGTTAGAGGTGAAAATCAATACGGAAGCAGAAGATCTCTGTTAAAGCGTCCTTCCAATTTCATTAGACAATCTACATATAAATGAAATTAAATCATGCATCCATGGAGTAAAAACACATCAAATGTATGTGGAGGTTTGACTCACTCGTGTGACGCCACTTTGTTCTGAGTTTTAAATGCACTTCCCAGTAACTTCATCTGCGTCCTCTCGTTTGTGTTTCACTGCCGATTTTGAATAAGTTCTTTGGGTTGACTTGGTCAGTGCCTTCGAGGATTTAATACATAGGCCAGATCCCTTGGTAGTCTTCTCTGTTCAAGACTGAAAACGTTCAGTACTTTAAGCCTGTCAGAGTGAGACTTTCCTTGACGCCTGGGTATGTATTGTGTCTGGTCTCTTTCCACTGGATGTAACATGCAGACAGTATCCTGAATTGTATAATTTAACATTAAACATTAATTACATATAGTTAAAATTCTACACAAGTAACTATATATATATATCCTAATTTTATATTTCCATTTTTATTGTTTCCTCGTATTATCTAAAAATTAAATCAGCTTCCCTTTCTTATTTTAGCTAAAACATGCGCTTTTAAACCTAAAACTCAAAATCTCAAAACCGCAGAAATGCTGTGTATAGCGTATTATGCTTCAGAAATCGTAAAGCATAATATACTATACAGATGATTTTCAAAGGGGGGGGGGGCTTTTGGCTCATCTCTATTAATTGTTTAGTGTTCATTTTCTATTCACGTTAGGGTTGTATTGAGGACATCTTTCCTCCAAAAGACGGATTAGAATGAATTAAGATGGATTCATTTTCGAGACTGTAATTAACGCGATTAGCAAGCATTCTTCTTTTTCTGGCTGCATGTCAAAGAGCAAAGCACAATGAGCAAATACCGGAAACGATATCCACTGATCGATCTATACCATTATCGGAAATGCGTTTGTCTTGGTGAGGGTCGTTGCATCTCGGAGTCTATTCTAGAAACACTGCGATCAAAAAGGGACTGAGAGATATAGCTATAGAACTGGACTGGAAGCCACTTAATCAAATAACAACATTGAAAAAGACAACTTTGAAACTGCGTGACATCGGGTGGGATGACACAGCAGCAGAAAACAATTTACCTTAATTTTGGCCTGACGGTAAAAAGTTAATGAGAAGCCAGATTGACAAATTATTTTTCTTTTTAGCATTGTTTGAATTTCTGAATCAATTTTAGCACATAATGAAAATAATTAAAAAGGCGTTTTGTTATTGACAAGTCATGGAAACATTTCTGTAGTTTTTTTATGCACTGTTTTGCGCTTTTGCTTCCAGGTAATAACGTTCGCACAAATAGTTCTGTTTTTTGCCACTGGCGCTTCAGTCATTCAAGAAACTTAACATTTGTCACTTGCATGACGAGTTCAAGTGTGTGAAACTGTTAAAGGTACAACCCACAAGATATTCCTAGACTTTCACCACTAGAGTGCGTACTACCAGCTACATAAATTTGAAAAGTTGAAATTATTTGAATTCTATATAACCCTTGACAGCATACAGGAGGAAACTCGCTAAACGTATATTATTGTATGCGTCTTCATTCTGGTCCTAAAACCTGTAGTTTATTTTACTGCCTGTTACAATTTCCCTAAAACTGAAATAATAAAAAAAAAACTCCAAAGACTACAACCATCAAGTTCGAACGCCCATCGGGCAATGTCAATAACGAAATGCATCTTGGGGCGCTGTAGTTTCGTGGCGACCTGGAAAACAACGGGACCCGGTGGGCAGAATGGGGCCGATAAAACATCATTTCCCATAAAGCCCGAGGGTGGGCAGATGACGCAAACGACGCAGTCGCGCGGGGACGTGAGCCCTAGCATCCCATTCCTGTTGGGCCGGCCATGTTGGAACCTGAAGTCTCTTAGCTCTGTGGAGGAACAAGAGTGACTGGATATTTTGGATTCCTTATAACAGCCTTTCGAGGTGAAGGTGCGAGCCAGAAATCTACCGGGCGGGCAGCGTTTCGACAGACGGCAGACTGCCTGTGACTTCAGAGGGAAGGGGGAACGAAAATGAGCCCCACCGACGCAAAACGAGGAGCGAAACGCAGGAAGAGCAAGCGGGGCGGTGGCAGCAGTAGTTGCAGTGGTGTTGTTAGCAGCAGCAGTGGAAAGGCCGGGGCTTCTGCCGCGGCCCGGAGTCCGCAGGCAGCGGGAGCCCAAGCGGCGGCGATGGGCTTGCTGACAACCGGGGGTCCTGGCAGTGACAGCGCTGGCCTGAATAGGGAGGTGAGCTTGTTAGCCGCGGTGTGGCGACGGGTTGATAACGCGCACGGTGTGGAGACGGGCTGGATTGCTACACCTTTTGAGGCCTGCAGAGATTGAGAGTTTTGTTTACAGACAGATCGGCGGTGTACAATTGCAGGGCTGGGGGGTACTACCCCGGGGAATTGAACCCCCGTAGACGGAGTGCTCGTAGCTTTCTGCAAAGGGCGAGGCAGGCGGGTTTGTTATTCTCGTTCAACCGCCAGGTAAGATGCAGGAGGCTGCCTGGGTTCACCTTGATATTATAGCGATCAACTTGGGAAGTTGACTCTTGTGATCACGGCGTGTTTCGTGACAGCTCGGGGCTTGTACTTGTTGAGCTGTCCCCCTGCTCTTCAACTTTCAAGCGGAGCAGCGCCTGAAAAAAAAAAAAACAAAAAAAAAAAGTTCGGTTAAAAACGTGCCCAGTGGCTGAAATCTCTGATGTTTGAATAAAAAAAGGCACCAGCGGCAGAGAAGTGCTTCCAGCTTCATGTAAAAAAAAAAAAGAAGTCGCCGGTATGAAAAATTCTTAACTCCACCAAACACAGACCGACCTCACTGCCATCACGCATCTGTTTGTATGACGTGCAGCGTTATTGATGCCTTCAAGGAGGAGATTGCCTTATCTGCACCAGGTGTCAAGCGTGTTCAAAGAAAAATTGGCTTTCTTGACAGGTGCATCAAAGCAGAGGGGAAAGTGTTTAGTAAAGTGTCATGTTTTGGTGCTTCCATCAAATGTCAACGTCTCGTCCCATCTCGAGTGATATAAAATGAAGACACTCAGAAAGGGAGAGGAGAGCTAGGGCACCTGGAGCCCCTGTAGTTTGCTACACAATATTGTGTGTTTTTATAACGGCATGAACACTTCCTGAAAATTGATTTTACTTTTCTGGACACATTTCCGTTCATTGAAGGTGTGAATTATGTAGCAGCTTGTCAGAGCATGCTTATGAACAACTGATAAACCAACTAGTTTGACCCTGAAGACTTAAATTGTTGATTTATTGAGTATTTCAAATTAAGCCCAAAAAATTGACTATCCTAGTTTTCGATTCCTCGGGTCTTTAAAAGATTGTTAAGGGGTGTTACGCTGTAGTTTCAAAGTGGAATGTTGATCCTTTAATCCTTTACTACCAGGAATTGCCACCAATATAACTTTTATAGAAAATATTTTTCCAATAATATCGGAGTGCTGCACGTTCTAAGTATCAGGAGGTTAGATTATGAGACATATGTAAATGTGCAGAACCGGGCAGTTTTGAATTCCAAACTTGTGTTTTCACTTACTGAGGCACATGTTTAATGTGCACTCAAAATAGATTGTCCTGATGATGCTGCCATATGAAATTAAATACATTATTTAAAATAATTAACTTGCGTTGAGGTTATGTGTGAGGCTGAACTGTGTATTTTCTGAAAATAAGAAATGCTCATGTATTATATTTTACAGACCCAACATATAATATACTTTACAGGCCAGGTTTAGAAACATTAAAGTTTGTAGTTATTCAGATTTCTTAGTACTGCAGAGGTCTAAGTTATTCTTTTATCAAAATATGTATCCAGTCCTTAAGTGACTGTATGGATTACTCCAAAATGCAAAGTATTTCAGCAGAATACAGAAAGGGCACCATCAGCAAGCTGGTTAAAATAATGTACATGTGCATGATGATGGTCAGTTTTCTTGGACTGTTGACATCACTTGTTTTCTTACCTAAGCATGAAATGGTTGTCACTTGGAGTGAAGACTGCCTCTTCTTTGGGAAGACAGTTCTCACGATTAGGCCTCACTAAGAGGCCTAATATAAAATATAAAAATATTATCAAGTCTGCAGGCTTGGGAATCAATTTTCTGGTTCTTTTAGAAATTGGAGGCGTTCTAAAGAGCAGAGTAAGGGTGACTGCTGGGTTTCTGCGGCTCCCAGTAAAGGAATTGAATATAACTTGTTTAAGATTGAGCACTAGGCAAAGTGGAACAAGCTGTGTTGTTGAATGAGCAGAAATTGTAAAGAAATCAATACAGAAACAGCTGCTTTGAACGCTTGGATCAATTAATGGTCCTATCCAAACAGGTTAGACGGACCAAATGGGCTTCTCTCATTTGTACCTGTCCTTACGTACTGGTCTGAAGAAAAGTGGAAGAAAAAACGTTATGCGGATTAACATAAACAGAACATTGCAAAAACGAGAAGTGCCCAAAAATAAAAATGAAAATAGAAACCCAAGAGGAAAATAAGTAAAAGAGACTATAAGTTGACTAAGTATTCAAAACTCAAATACGTAGCACCTCATAGCCACTCCTTGCAGCAGATTTCAAGGTCTCCACAGATCTTACCGTAAAGCAAAAATAGACGGAAGATACCACGTTAAGAAAATGAGTTAAAAAAAACGGGCTTTAAGTCATTTAAGAATTTCCGCCTAATGAAAATTCCTACACAGCAAGAATGTTTATGATGAAACAGGAAGAAAATCTCTTTGCTGCGATGTATGAATGTAACAATAATCTGTATTTTTCTCTGTGGACTTGTTTCCTTTCTCAAGAGCATCTCCACATACAATTCATAATAAGCATGAAAGGATAAAGTTTTTTTTAACAGTATTTTAAATGCAAGGATTACACAGATTGCAAAAGATTTGTGCATTATTCTACAATAATAAGGTGATAGTTCAACACACTGTATAGATATTTCCTTCATCTTAATACAGTTAAGTAGTTCAGGTGGGTAGCTGAAGACACCTGAAGAAGGCTCCACGGCCGAAACGTGTTTTCTTTCTTTTGTTTTCAGCATGGAATAAACCCATTATTTGTTCCTTTAATACACTTAATATATGTAAGAGTATTACATGCATTTGACAAAGACTATACAGTAAGAACAGCTTTAACAGTTACTACATGTATAAGTTAATCATCCCAATGGGGAGATTGATTATAAGAAAATGCAATCACGTCAAACTCTCTTATATTGTATTTTTCTAGAAATGATACCTACCAAGTTTGGATTTAAACGGCAAAGTTTCTGTTCAGGGGAAGTTTGTGGTTGAGAACAAATGATGACAAGTGAACAAAAAAGCAACTGGGTGGCTTTTATGGTTTATAGTGGAATCCAGTTTTGCTTTGTTGTATTGTTGTATTGTATTGTACAATAGTACCTACTGTGGGTTAAGCTGAAGCTTATTAATGAATATTTTAACAGTTGTCACTCTAATGATGCCTATGAAGGTTGGTGTTGTTTAATCAAATGATCTTTGAACAGAAGCAGAAACAGGCTACATTTCACCAGGAAGTTGATAACCCGATGGTTGGCAGGCAAATTATTGCTGGAATCTTTGAAGTACAGATCAGGAACAGTATATGGACAGACATGAAGTAAGAACTCATCTGGAATCCAAGGCTTCAAGCAGTGATGCTGCTAGGGCCCCCTGATGCTTGAGTCTGGGGCAGTCTTGAGTGTCGAGCCTTACTGTTGATCAAATATTGAAATATCAGATCTGTCAGATATACTTATACAGCCCAGGGGCAGAATCCGGCTCTAAAAGCCCATTTGTTTGCCCTGTGTGACAGTTTTGGTCAGAGAACTTGTATGGTATTCGGCGTGCACCATGTCTGAACCCGCATAGCCCTCACACAAAGCAGGCATCGATCTTGCATAGTGGTGCATCTGTCTGATGTAGTCACACATCTCGTTTGACAGGGGGCGTGTCTTTGCCTGAGAACAGCGGTAAAAATTGACACCGTACCCACACTTCCTGCAGTCTCCCCCTGCTGAATCTGGAGCAAGATCAGTGGCTGAATCACCGCTCGCCGCACTGACCAATAAACACAATAGTGTTTTATGATATCAGAAGGAAAAGTGTTGAACATGGCTGGAAGGGCCTTGTAAGAATAATGTTTTTTTGTTTGATTCAAAAGAAGTGGAGAAACATGTATCACTTTGTAGACACGAATGGGAAGTCAACATGCTTGATTTGCACAGATTGAAGTTGCCAAAGACTGACACTTATAGTTGTAGTTTTTTGCTGTTTTAATATATTTAATAGTAAAAAATAGCATTCCTCCTTTTCATTGTTTTTTCATGCAACCTGGTCTTTTGCTGTTTCTGTTTCTCAGTTAGTAAACTCTGCTTATTTTGAAGCAAGGCCTGAGCTGCTTCCCACAGGTGCTGTGTTCATTTTAATCAGTCCCTAAAGAAGAGATTACAGGTGATGCTGATAACTGATGGGTGAAGCATGTATTCCTAACATTACTGCAACTGACATACATGTACTCATCCCTCGGTTTACAAAAGTAATGCATTCTCAAACAGTTCATAATGCAAAATTCCGAAACAAAAATTAAATTATAATTAATTATAATTCACAGGTTACAAACTTACAACTCATTCCCAAAGTCTAGTATTGCTCACTATTTCTTCCTGTCTTTGAACAAGATTTTCCTAAATCTTTGTTTTAGAATACAGTTTTACATAGTCTAAAATAATCAATTGATTTTTAAACTAATTCCAGATAATACTACTAAAAAACATTGTGTATTCAGTGTGTATGAAACAAGCTTTGCTAACTGGCATTTAGTAAAGATGCAGTGACTTAGAAATTTAAATTTATTATATAGGGAGTTATTTAGTTGTACTATTTTGCATTTTCAAAGTTAATTTTACATTTAATACACTATAATGGTTGTGCCTAGTATTTTGATAACGTATATTATGTATGACCTGCTTGACGTTTATTTAAATGAAGTCTCGAAAAACCTAAGCTTGTCATGAAATGGGCTTCTAGGTAATGTAGTAAAACTGGGACCATGCTTTCGAGCAACATTAGCTAATTATTTAATACAAAAAATAAACCCTGAATGCTGAAATCATATTTAAATAATGAATACAACTGAAAAACTGAAGATGAAGATTTAAAACACTTGTTACCTGCACAAGCAGTCCTCAGCTTTACGGTTTTCACATTAAATTGAACTTCACTTACAACATTTACAAAGTCACGCCTTTATAGTGGTGATTTTGAGGTCTCAGCTATGCCAGCACATCTCCTTGACTCAAGATACAGTTTCTTTTCTGATTTTTACTGTGTGAATCTGTTTCTAAATGTGTTCTTCTGATCGTTTCTTTGCACATAACAATGACAGAAAAGCATCAGTTCATTGCTACTGTAAGTCAATTTGATTGCTATTACCAATGTAAAGATAGTAATTAAGCAGGACCACCACTGCCCACCCCAACCTAAGTTAAATTAATCAATGTAAGTATAAGTGATGAACCTCTCTTGATATTAATTTGCACATCTGACAGCAATTTATCAGATCGCGTTTATCGGATGACAAACCTTTGAATGTTTTAGCCTTCTTCCTTTTCCTTTTTCCAAAATATCTGGTGTGGCAAACGCATTGTGTTGAGAGTTGTAAAGTATCCTCAATATATGTAGTTTGACGTTGCTTAGCAACACATCTGTCTTGGTAAAAAAAATATATATCCAGCCAAGTGTCAGAAGGAAAGTTATTTTTCCTGACAAGGTGTTGGTAATTGGGCTATATGTAGGTGGCATCATTATAATTAATCTTTTCCCACAAGATGAAGTCAACTTGAAATGCTTTCAGGAGTGTTGAAATGGATGTGCTCCATATCATTGGCAACGCTGAGAAATTGAACTGATTGTGTTACTAAAATTGATTGTGTGGCTGAAATTTCTTTGTTATTCTCTAAGGTTGCATTAAATAGCAAGTGGGTCATGTGCGTCAACAGGACAGTGATCATAGAAAATCACAGTATGGCAATATGGTTAGGATGTCGCAGAGATTACGAGCAGGACTCTCTGTTTTTCCCTTTGCTAAGAATAAATGGGTGGCTTGGCAGAAATAAACATGTAACATGAGGAAATAACACTGGCATTTGCTTCATTGCTTTTGTCTTAAAATTAATTCAGGCATTATTTTTCCCTAGACTAAATTTGTTTTGCACCAGAGTCCAATACAGCTAAAACAAATATCACCAAGAAAGTGAAACTGCAGGTGGAGAAGTATTTCTGGTTGACATTTCCATCGTATCCTGGAACGCGGAGGCGTATTCCAGATTGGAAGAAGTGTAGTTTCACAGTGGATCTGATTTACTTCAGTGATTTTACTACTCATGTTCACTGTTTTCCCTCAGCCCATTCCAATTTGCCTTACTGATGTTACAAACCAACAGATAAGACTGTTAAGACCCTTTCAGTATTATTTGTAGAAAAGTGATAAAATAGTTCTGTCCACTTTAAAGAACCTTCCTGTAAAAACCAGCTTCCTTTAAAAAAAATGCCTCTATTGGCCTTTAGATAAATTATCTCACAACATCAGCAAAGTTAAGATTTCTGTTTGCTCATAGGAAATGTACATTAAAGGGGATACAACAGAAGTGAAATGAACTTCAGATAATCGTTTTCTCACTTTTACATGTTGAACATCTACTTTAAAAAAACCTGAAACGTATCTAACCAAGTTAGCATTAAATTTACAATTCATTGAGATTTTTTGTTCCAATAAGAGTGTTTGAATTGTTAAATAATTCTATAATTATATATAAAAAAGCTTGAAAAAGAGACAGTTTTGTGAAATGGAAGGTTTCAGCTGGATAATCCAAAGACTGCATGTAGAATTGGACCTCAGATACTGTCTACAATGTCACTAATCAGAGGGTGATTTAAATTCGTTTCAAGAAGGGGGATGCTGTCCTGTACTGTCCTGCATCCCTGGTGTCCTGACATGTTCTTGCATGGGTTTTTCTTAGCGGCTTCATTTTCGTACTGCCTCCCAAAGATGTGCTAGCCAGGTATCTCTGAATTGTCTGTGTGTGTTCGATCAGTGATAGACCGCTGTCCCCTCCAGGCTGCAGTTCCACTTGCACCCTGTGCTTCTGGCCTTGGATTGCCCTGACTGCCACCAGGCATGAGTGGTCACATTAGACAGGTGGGGCTGGGATGCTTTGGCCGAAGTCTTAAAGGAAATGCAGCAGTAATATGTAGTGTTCTACATATTCTTATGTTTGCGTCTTCACAAGTGATGTTCGGTTGAAGAGTTATTGAAATACTGTTAATTATACAAGTAAAAAAAGTTAGATTGACAAAGCCGCTACTTTTTGTGTTTCAGGTATCTTTAAATGGTACCCAGTTCACAGAAGGGCTGGTGAATCCTGAGTTTGCAGGAGTCTTGCAGGTAATTTCTTTTTATGATGTTTTCTTCATCGCTCCTATTGACATTTAATCATTCTCATCTACCACATTCTTAAAGGTGCAATGCCACTTTCATATTTCGGGGTTAGAAAGAATCAGCACTGAGTGCATTTCAAACCACAGTAACAGTAAAATGTACACAGTAACTTGTAAAACCTCCAATTTACATCACAAAATAGACAAAGTTTGCGGCTATGCACAGCACCTTGTTCTTCGATTCAGAAAAAGACAACAAAATTTGCAGTGACGTCTGAAGCCCTATGACATTGTAAACAAGCAGGCTTATGAATACATATATTAGAAATATTGCTTTAGATTTTGAGGCAGTAAATACTACTAGTTAACTCTGCATGAAGATGATGGAACATTTCTGTGGTGAAATTGTCTGCTGCACAACCTGTATTTACACGCTTGTATATCCCATTACATTATTCAATACGCTGACTAGTGAGCAGGAAGGGCAGCATCACATTCAAAATTTGTAATTTTTTTCTATTAAGTCAATGCAATTATATAGTTTCCGAGACTTAATAACCTGTCTGAGAAATTGAGACTGCGGCTCCCCTTTAACTTATGAAGTTATCCTGATTTTAATTTAACCTGATATATGAAATTATTGTGTTTGGCTAACAGCTTGAATACAGGTTTGGGACAGTTCACGAATACTTTCCAGAAATGCGTTATTAACATAAACTGGAGATTCATGGAACTGGGATAGGATAACGTCACAGGGCAGTCGAGTCTTGACCTTCATGAAGGTTTGGTGCAGAGAACCTAATGCTTTGACATTAGGTTAATTTAAATTACATCGATCAACTAAAACAAACAGTAATCACAGGCTTATAGTAATCACTTAAAATCAACAGCATGAATCCCTCCTCCATGTCCAGCCGGCACTTTCTCTCTCTGCCTCTGTGATCGTGACGCCCCACTGTAATGAAACGGGCAATAAAACTGTCAGTGAGCCTGTGAAGTTGTCTTCACCCTGTTATTCCCCACGCAGACGATACAGAGATTTGTTACACCATTAAAACAACGCTGAGATTCTGGTGGACAGGGGGCAGGGAGAGGCTCCCTCACTAGCAAGAATCTTTTCACAGCCCTTACCTGTGGCTCCACTGATTTGAAAGTTGCGGCTAACAGCTGGGTTTCATCCCGCTCCGCTCTGCTCCTGCCATACCGAATCACGAACAAGTAAATTAGAAAACGTTACATTTTTTAGGTTTGCAGTGTTTGAGACCCTGCCGTGTAGTACTTACTATAAAAGCAGGTTGCTGCTGTTAGCGATAAGGGCACTCTTCCTCCCCCCCCCCCCTCGGAACCAGCATTTCCAGTATGGTGGTAGACACCAGGTCACTGCTGTGCTGTTAGGCGTGTGCTATTTGCATCTTGTATTGTAAGCACCCTTATTATCAGTCGACTTTCTTGTATCTCTGGAAGGCTTTTAACATTTCTAAAAATAGTCCTTACCATCATCATGATAAAAGTTAGATAGTTTCGAACATGACGTTGTCATAACATTCATCAAAGTTCTGTATGTAAGAATATGCTTGTTCTCCTCTCTTTTGTAGACCCCTTTTACCTTTGGCTTAGGTCAGAGGGCACCATACACAACAGGGGAACGATGTCTCCTGTGCAGAAATGAACGTAAAGATAATTCACTTTTGGAAACAGGGGTTTCCAGTTCTAGCAAAACAGCACTTTCCACATCTCCAAAAACCAACAGCATGCTTCAGTTACCTCTGTGGGTCTGCCCAGATTGCCGGCGCACAGTGGAAAAAGAGGAACGACATGCTGCCTTGGAGCAGTCACTTGTGGTAAGTCAATTAATGAATCAGTCGGAGTCCGGTCACCCTGGAAATCAGTTAAGATTTCATATAGAATATGGTAGAAATAGGCTCAGGCATTCGGATTCAGAGACTGAACTTTTCACATCTCGGAAGCTGAACAAACTTTGTCTCATGTGTCAATTTTAGATGGGAGACCCCTTACGGAAAGCTGTCCTTTCTGTTGATAGCCACAGTTCAGTCAGTCCCAGCAGAATTATACTTAGTAGGAATAGTCACACTGACATTATCATACCTGTGACATTACACACGAACCAAACTATGTTCTCATCCTGTAATAGCACAATTTCATATCACTCATAAATTGGAGCTTATAAATGGGTCTGTTGCTTCTCTGTTTACTTACTTGAATTCTTGAACAAATTAATTTGAGACTTTTACACTATGCTTGATAAAATTATGTAATTGAGGCTAGTTCCTAGTTTTTGAAGTACACTAGGCGAAGAAATAAATGATTTTTTAATTACACTTTTTTAATTTTGTATTAGACTTTGTATGCAGTTAAGTTGAATTGTCATGGCCAGGAAGTTCAAACATCTTGACAAATATGCAAACGCAATGTTTTTTTTATGTTGTATAACAGAACCAGGACTTCTTATTGCACATGCCTGCTGGGAACAATGGGTCGCTGCAGGAGCCTGGGGGCGGAGGAGGAAGACAAGCTATTGGTGCACAGACACCACCAACTCCAGACCTCGGCACTCCTGTGGCCACAGATACAGTGTGTAGCTGTGAGGCTTGTAATGAGCGAAGGTAGAGTCCTACTGCTTCTGTATCGGCCCACCCTAAGCCAGCATTAAATCTGATAACCCCCTTCATCACTGTATTGCATTATTTTTTGGTAATCGTTTTTTTCTTCTTCATCAGCATTTAAATGTTCTGTAACATTTAATTTCCTTACAGTATTATTTCATTATTAAGTGCTGTTCATATTGTTCAAATTAAATTGTTCTTTTCCCGGTTTATGGCTTATTGTGATGTGAAACAAGTGATGTTTTTTTCAACTGATTTGAACTAATTTAAGTCTTGGTAAATTATTCCACTGCAGTATGAAAGACAGAGATACACATTTGCTTTAATTTAGGGTCCTAAAGTTGAGGAAATACAAATGTGGACATTGTTGTACACCAAATAAAAAATTACTTAAATTTAAGCTTGTAAGACAACAAATCATTAATCAGAATAGTTACACTAACAGCTGCTTGTGAGAGCTGTAAAATCTTATAACTATGCTTTCCAGGGAAATTTCGGCAGAGTCTGAAAGAGAGTCTCAGCAGCTTCAGAATTACTGGTCTGAAATCCGCTACATGGTGAGGTGTATCTATCGACAGACCGGAACACCACTGGCAGATGACCAGGACCAGCCCCTGGATCGAGACAAGGAAGGAATGAAAGAACTAGTAGATAGGTACTGTGTCATTTCAAAATATCCATAACCTCTATTTAGCCGATGTTTCAAGCATTTAACCATTGTTCTCTGGCAACATTCTTGTTTCTCGATTTTAAGAGAGAGTGGAAGATCTTGTGGCCGTGACAATATCAGACATTTACGTCTTGTAAAACAGTGATTATATGTGGTAGTTTCTCAGTGAAAGGGGGGTAAAGTATATATCGGGAGATATGCTTGTTTGCTAGTGAATATCATGATACAAATTCTAGGATTTTGTTTAGTGAAAGTGTTCCTCACTGGCTGAAGACTGCAGCCTCTTGTGGATTTCAGCAATAACCTTCCAATAAAGTACGTTGTGGACTTTTGTAACAGTCTGATGCTCCTTTAAATGTTTTGCTTCCGTGTTACAAAAAATAATGTTGTTGTTGTTGTTGCACATCTTATGTGATGCATTGTTCTGCTTTGTTGGGTTTTCAGACTTTGTGAAAAAGACCCCTACCAGCTCTATCAGCGGTTAGAGCAACAAGCTAGGGAGTACGTGCTAGAAATGAAGGTTCGTCTACTGAAGCATCTGTCTGTAGGCTCTAAGATGGCATCAGCAGTGCAAGGCCCCCCACAAGCACATCAGTTCATCTCCCTGCTCCTGGAGGAGTACAGTGCCCTCTGTCAAGCTGCACGCACAATCAGCACCTTCCTGCTCACACTGGTAAGTCAGCCTTCAGGTGGCATGTTTGTGGTGCAGGAAGTGGCATGCATGCAACATTTCTGTATACAATCTGCAGCAGAGCAGCACAGTTTCTGATTTAACAGTAGAACTAAAGGGGTAGTGTGGGGATTGGTAAAATGATAGGGCTTGTGATGTATAATTAAGGCAGACAAATTTGTTGTCTGTTGTAAAGTGTGAGATTTTAATTACTACATCACTTTTTTGGGTTGTTTGTAGCTTTAGGTTCTTCTTGTGTGGGTTAACTAAAATGTGTGCCTTGGGTCTAGAACAAGAATAATTTGCAATTGCAAGTGGCAGTTTACAGTATTACACTCATCCCACGTGGTAAAAGTTCACAAAGTCAGAACCTCACCAGTGTTTCTCAGGTGTTTCTTAGAATTTTAAATGATGTATCTTGTATGACTGCGATGCGTTGAATATACATCATGGATACATTTCTTGTAGGAAAATGAGCATTTAAAGAAATTCCAAGTGACATGGGAGCTACACAACAAGCACCTTTTTGAAAATCTTGTTTTTTCGGAACCCCTTCTGCACAACAATTTACCCAACCTCGTTGCACAGTTAAGGTAAGGTGGGCATTCATACAGAAAAGACGTTTATATTATCATTCTATGTTAAATTTACATTCATATTATCATTCTATGTTAAATTTAGATAGAGAAAAGAATACAAAAATACCTCATCAAAAAATGTGTGAAGTTGGATATAAGTTACACGTACCAGGTTAGCTAGAGCTCTGTGCTTTTTTCTTAGCCATCAGTAACTTAGTCCTCGAAGTGTGATACTGTCATCCATTGGTGACATGCAAGTATTTTGTACACGAACTGTACACATTCATCTGAGTTGTTGTGCATTTGTGAACTCGTCACTGGATAGCAGGGAATACAGCTTGACTGATTTCTTCTCCACAGTTTGAATTATACTGCAGTTCAGTTACAGCTGAAGAGAGGCAGATCTATTATCCACATTGGCAATTAAGCAGATTGTGTTTGTGTGTAACTTGACATTGGAAAACCCAGCTTCAACATTTTTAGTCAACAAGAACTTTTACCATATGGTCACAAGGGAATGGAGCACAATCCTTCTGATCACGATTTACTTTTTCAAAAGATAGAAAGTGAGATTTCTCCTTTTTCCTTGTCCTTGTTTCATTGGAAGAGCCTCAGTTTTGGTTGAAAGACTTCTATGTGTGAGTTAAGATGAAAAAGACGAGTCTTTCTTTACCTTGCAACTTTAAACTGAGGCGGATTGAGTCGTTAAGTCTTGTCAGAACCACATGATCCCACATCTATACCTGATCTGATAGTTCAGGGATATTTTGCACTTTCCTGGCTCCAAAAATATCTTGTAAATTTCATTCTGCAATGCAGAAAAGCATTTGAGCCCATTTCTGTATCATGCCTCATTTATTTGAGCACATTCTTTTGTGGCGCTGTGGTAAAACATATCCTTGTATTCTGAATGAATTTCCCTTAGGAAGTTTTGAAATGTGTGTCAATTCAGCCAAAGATCCCCGAGTGTATTTCCTGCGCTAACCACAAGATTTCCCAAATTTAGGACTTTGCCGCTGGTTGGTGGTGGAGAGCAGCAATGTTGGTCTCTCTGCATTACTCCTCGCCATTTTATTACCACCAGCTGTTGTCACTGTGGAAAGACTATTCATTTTGAGACAAGACAAGATCTTTAATCATCATGGAAAATCTCATGAGATAGTTCTTCACCTGTAATCCCCCCATAAAACATCTTTAGTGTACCATTTGTACACAGAGTCTGTTAATTTTTGGAAACTATAATTATCTTTAGTTAAAATTCAGTGGATGGGGATGAAATCCGTTATTGTGCAGGAAACATTTTTGTTTTAAGATGTTTTAAGAATTTTTTTACAGCTTTTGTGACTTTTGTTTCTTTATTTTCAAAGAATCAGAAGAACATTTCAAACACAGCTGAACTTTGATGTACTTCAATGTTGTTTCAATTCCTAGGTGTGGGACAGCTTCACATGATTCCTACAGTGAAGATATGTATAGCACCCTGCTTCAGAGCTACCACCATCTTGACCAGGAAATGAATGTAGTTGCTGTTGAGTGGCTTGAATGTGAAAAACGGATAGATGATTATGTAGATGAACAGGTAAAACAAATGTATATACATTGCTCAGTTGAAATGCAGTACAATTTAGATTGTCATTTTCAGAACTTAATTCTAAGGATTCTGCAGTGGTGGGACATCCCCAAATGGCTCCAACGGCAATTAGTTTATTTGCAGTGCAGGCTGACAATTCATACTTTGCCAGCTCACGCCTGGGTTTTGTCATTAAAGAACTGATTAGGTTTCTCAAGAGGCAGGATGAACTTAGCTCGAGTCTTACGAGGCAACCTTGGCTTTCCACACTGCAGAGAGGCGCTGGTCACGTGTGAGCTTGCCACGTTGTCAGGGAGAGCAGCTTCACGCCTCGGGTTGATGCTAACTCTCCCGTAAGCCCTGTGGAGTTCAGGCTGTGAAAAATCACCCTGACGATGCACATCACCGAGGGTGATGTTCAAATCCTAATCCTTTTGTAGGTGTATCGGGTCTGTTGTGGACAGCAAGATATGGAGAATCTAAAATAGTTGATTTCCAAACTTTCTTAATGGAAAGTAATTTAATTTTTTTTAAACCACTTATGAATCCTTGAGGGACTATTAAAGTGAGGAGCCATGTAGTTCATTTTGTTGCTGGTAGCTAGGTAATCTGAGGGTCTCATCCACCCTTTTTTTTTGAAGAGTCACTGTCACTTTCAGTACCTCAATTGGGTGACTTGATCTAGACAACTGCAACTTTTTTTGTACATAAACAGCTTTCTCTGCTCAGTCTTCAATTCTCTTTAGTCTGTGTGTGACGTTGCTTTTATGTCCAGGGCCTGGTATCTTGCATTGCATTAATTAATTCAGTTTCTTAACTGTGGTAATTGAGATGTGGTAATTCACTTACTTTGTGATTTCATTCATCCTGAATACATTAAACAATCTAATACTGTATCCGAATGTTTTGTCATTTTGACAGTTGCTATTTAAAGTGGAAGGGCAGAACCATACAAATCAGAGGACAGATCCACATAAGTCACTAATTAGCAAAAATGTAAGTACTCTTTTACTCTTATCTACAAAAGTGTTTTAAAGTGAATTTTATAACGTAAATCATTTTGTGTGTATAAAGCTTTACATAAATGTCATGTGATCCTATCCTTCCAATTTTGCGTCATCATACAGTGTCTGAAACCCACATCTTTTTTTAAAAAAAGATGTTTTTGAAGCTGGTAGAAAAAAAGTAATGTCAACAAATGCTCGGTTACCATGGCATGTTCTGAAAGTTGTAATTGAAAGGATCTTTTGTATGAAATTAAATTAATCTTTTGTATGGTTTTTACAGATATCATTAAAAACAAAGCAACGCATGCTGAAAGAAGATTGGGAGTTCTTTAAGCAAAGAAGATTTATTGAAGAACAGGTAAAGACAGTATAATGACTTCTTCAAAAAATATTTCCCATTTAACCCATGCGTTTTATTGTCCATGTTGCCATTAGTACAGAAGAAGTGGCATGTCTTGAACGAAGGACAAGAATTTTAATTGAAAAGTCTATACAATATATAGTCTTTCAGTGATTTTTGAAAAATGCTCAAATAAACTAGGGCACAATACTGAAGTTTTAAAACTTACGTTGCATCAAGCTGTTCTGCTCAATATTTTTCATTTTTTGTATGTGCGTGATATTAATACCAGTTTATGTTTTTACAGCTAACAAACAGTAAGAAATCCCTTACAGGAGACAATAATTTTACAGATACAATGAGACACATGCTTTCATCTAGGCTGAGTATACCAGATTGTCCCAACTGTAATTATCGGCGAAGGTAAGTACAATTGATTGGATGTGTTAGTGTTTCTCAGTAAAAACTTTTTGAAAATGTAAAAGCCCTGACCATTTTTACATAGTTTCCAAAGCACTCTCTGAGGCTGTGCCACATTAAATAGGGGGTGTGTTTCTATTGAACTGGAATGGTAAAAGACATTTCGGTTGTAGCTTCTTTTTTTCCAATGAACTCTGTATGTGGACACGTATATGTGTGTGTGTGTGTACATGCATGCTCAGCTGTATAGTTCTTAACCAGTCATTGTTCCTTTCTGTCACCAACCAAAAGAACCACAGAAGGGCTTTAAATGAAGGATCAGTTAAACTGGCATCACTTAGGTGAAGTTATCATTAAAATGGACTGTTATCTCTGTTTAAAACAAAGGGCACAGTAATTATTTCATTACAAAAGGCTTAGTGTTTCTAACACAATTACTTTAACACTGCGTACGAATCTATCTTTAACCTAGATCCCAAAGATCTGTGGGATGTACAAATCTAACCTAGCCACTATCCAAGGAACCGCATTCAAATTTGAAATTAATTCTTACATTGTTAATATTGTTTGAAAAAGAGTGCACATGGTAATTTCTAAATTATTTTTCTTTTCAAATGTGAATTTGCCGCAACAGAAAAAATCAAAATCTGTATATCTTAAATACCATCAAGAAGCTGGTTTTGGTTTTCACATTCCAGTGCTAAGGGTTCTAGAAACCGATTTATGTGTCTGAATGGTTGTTAATAGTATATGCAAGTGCTTAGTATATAATTAAGGAAAGTAGTGTTAAAGATTAGTTAAATTTGAGTGTTTTATATAATTATTGTCTCAAATAAGGTTGTGTAATTGACAATTTGACGGCTATAGTCTAAGGAAGCATTTTCTGTTATAACTATTTACTTATCAGGGTGGGATTAAAAATATTAAAGCTCTCTCTTTCCCATCCATAGGTGTACGTGTGATGACTGTAGCCTTTCGCACATTCTGACCTGTGGCATTATGGATTCTTCCATCGCTGATGATCTTCATGTGACCAAGTCGCCAATGCAAGTGGAGTCTGCTCCTGACTATCTCTCTGAAGTCCATCCACCCAGCATGTCTTCTGCAAGCTCCGGCTCAGGACCCAGCTCCCCCATCACAATCCAGCAGCACCCCAGACTCATCCTCACAGACAGTGGTCCTGCTTCCACCTTGTAAGTCACTTCCAAAGCCCGGTTTTGCAAGCACCCCTGATCGCTGAAACCTTTTGACACCTGCAAGAGCTCCATCCTGGAACAAACATGGAGTCTAAGGTCAAGGAGAGACTTTTAAATAATACTAGTTTTCATGATTCCCTGGAAGCATTTCTACCACACTGAAGGAAGAATTTTATTGATTTTGTAATATGATTTTTAATATGATATGGTGTTGTGCAAAATCTCACTTTCTCAGTTTTTAGTATTTTCCACTCTGATAAGAAGAACCAACAGTTTGGACAGTTATGTGCTTAATTGGATCAGAAATCAAAATAACACCACCATAAACCTACAGTTTTCAGTAATGAAGACTTGCAAGTGTTCTGAAGCAATCCTTAGAACCCATAGAACCTTTTAATCAGGTTTGATTACTTTGTGTTTCACATTTGTTATTTTGACAACCCATACTAATCTTGCAGAAATAACCCGTTAAAAATCCCATGACTTTTTCTATGTATGTGTTCTTAATAATAGGGTAATCTTAATGATTTGTCCTGCCAGTTTTCTAGTGCAGACAGAATGTTGAAGAATTTGTTTTTTTTCCTAGCGGCAGTGATGATGATGAAGTACCTCCGCTATCTGCTAAGTTTGCCGATATTTACCCATTGGGTAGCTATGATGACGCAGAGGTAGCAGCCAGCATGAATGGAACTCATGGTCAGCTGAATGGAGGAGGAGAAAATATGGCGTTAAAAGATGAGGTGCGACACTTTGTAATCATTTATATGTTTTTTTTTAAAGTGCAATAGCAAGATCTCTTTATAGTATATTTTAATGGATTAGAAGTGTTCATTAAAAAACGTTTGAGGAAAAAATCATACTTTTAAAAAAAAAGTTTCCTTCCCTCTGGGTTTGAGTTGTTTTTGTACATTTTCAGTCATACTCAGACTGACATTCTGATTTAGCAGAATATCACACTGCGTCTCACAGCTGGTAACTCGCTGAAGCTAGGCAGGTGTGAGCCTGGCCAGAACCTGGATGGGAGACCTTGAAAAAATGTTACTGTTGGAAGAGGTGTTAGTGAACCAGTAGGGGGCACTCATCCAGCAGTCCTAAACCCCCCAATGGAAACACTTTACTGCTGGAAAGGTGCCGTCCTTTGGATGGGGCATAAAATCGAGGTCTGACTCTCCAGGGTGATTAAAATTTCCAAGCGTGTGTCTCAAAAAGAATACGGGTTTTAACTCCAGTGCCCTGGCCAAATTTACCCCTGGTGTTTTCCTCTCATGGCCTCCTAAAAACCTCCATCTATGGAGAGTCATAACTTCATCACCCTGCTCTCCTTCCCACTGATAACTGGTGTGTGGGGAGCGAACTGTGTGCACTTTGGCTGCTGTCACAGATGGGGTGGTGGTGGAGGAGAGTCCCCATTACCTGTAAAGTGCTGTGAGTGGAGTGTCCAGAAAAGCGCTGTAGAAGTGTAAGGAATTATGATTATTATTGACGTTTTGTCTGAAATGGATGTAGCCTTGGTTGGCTCAGGAGGTTTAGAACAGTAGAGAATATTGGTAACTGAGGGGGTCTGGGTCACGTTCTAAGCGCCCCATGTGCCATTTCTCCATGCAGTCCCCGCGGGTGAGCAGCAGCAGCAGCAGCAGCAGTAGCAGCTCTTCCTCCGAAGCAGACGACGAGGAGGCTGACGGGGAGAGCAGTGGGGAGCCCCCAGGGCCGCAGGAGGAGCTCCCTTCAGGAAGGAGAGCTTCAGCGAAGGATGACATGAGTAGCGATAGTCCTCCGCCATCTTACCAGAACCAACAGGTGCAGATAACATGACTCGGGTCCAGTTCGTAGTGAGGCGATGTGTAATTATCGCTGTGCTGTTTCTGTCCTTTGTGCTGAAGATGGGCTATAAGGCAAACCACATTTGTCACTTTCAGGGCACAAAGGGATAGCATATCCTGATTGATAAACTGCTTTGTCTTTAGTACACTGCTTTTTTGAAGTTCTGTGGGGCGGAATTGAGATAACTCGAAGAATCATTGAGTCTCTTTTTAGTTTTCCCCTAAGAAGTCTAACTGGCCGAATACACAAGATGTCTTGCCTACAGCCTTTCTGAAATGTATCATAAATTAGTACTGTTTAGTGTCCTATGAATTTTATGGCTTAAATTTGAACTTTTTCTCTTACAGCTAATTAAGTTATGTTGTAATTAGACTACCCAATTTTGAGGTTCCATATTGTTATGTTAGACATATGCCGAGAAACTCAGTTCATGCACAGTAAATTGTGCGACTTGACCGACTAACCAATGTTTCTTTCCATATGTCCTTTTAAAATGTTATACCCTGGTGTTTTTAAGATCCGCTGTAAATGTGAGAATGTGTTTGTGTGCATTTCTGTATATGATTTGCCTATTTAAATATTTTGTCTCCCTGACTGTATATCTAATGTATTTTAACTTGTTATTTATCATTCCAACAGACTGATCAAGTTCAGCATGCTTGCGAATGTCATGTTTGCAAGCAGGAAGTATCTGGTATTAATGGAACGACACTCACGCCTGGGAGACTCCATCCTGGCCACCAGTTCTTAACAGAGAAAACTTCCCATCCTGCTTTGCACCTTTATCCACATATCCATGGCCATCTACCGTTGCACACCATCTCACATCTACCTAGGCCCCTTCTTCACCCAACCCTCTATACTAGTCCGCCTTTTACACACAGCAATAAGGTAAGGCTACAGGGGATTCTGTGGGATATTTAAAGTGCTGTTTTATTCCCAGGTTTAATCTTAAATTTTGTTTATTTTTTTTAGGCAATTCAGTATGATTTTTGAAATTGTCACCCGAATTATATTGTCATTGGTTGACTGAAAGTATTAAAATGGAAAGTTATTAAAAGATTATTAAACTTCTCTCCTTCTTGCTTCACTCGTAGTTCTTTATTGTAAGGATTATTTTCTTGTTTTTTTATGTATGTATGAGGAACAACTGTTATATGCAATTATCATCCATACGTAAATACAGTCTCAGCAATTATAAAATGATTTATGTGTACATTTTGCAGACGCCTCCATCAGCCCCGACAACCAACCACACGGGCAAACATCAGGTTTTCAATGCTTCACTTCAAGACCATATTTATCAAAACTGTTTTGGGAACACTACAGACTGGAACAGTTCACTCCCCCCGTCTCTGAAGTTTGAAAACATCTGGGAAACATCAGTCATGAACTGGAATCCAGCAATTTTTCTGCAGGAGCCGCTCTCAGGTGTGACAGTTGCTCTGTTTTAAATAACATATGTTTGTGTAAGTCAGTATATAGGCATATAAACGTATTCATGAACCCTTTCCGGCAGTGGTCTCCCATCCGTAGTTCCCATCATAGCATCAGTGCATTGGAAACAGTTGACCGTACTGGAAATTGGATATGTAGAGATATGTTTTTTTCACAATGCGTTTAGCCAGTTATTTGGAAAGATTAATCTTCCATGATTAGGCCTTTGGTTAGTATGGTCTTTAAATAAATGTTTTCACAATAATGACAGCAGTGAATACCAGAATTATTTATAGTAGCCATTGTTCTTAGTTTAACACATGTATTTTCACCGATTCATATTGTTGCTGAATTGTCCTCTTTCCTAAAGGTGATATGCTTGGATCGGCTCTCCCGGAAATCAGACCAGACGTTCCACCACCATCATCCAGTGCTGAAACCACAACCCCTACAGAAACCACAGAAAAAAAGAACACAGCCAAGAAGAAATGTCTCTATAATTTCCAAGACACATTTATGGAAGCTAATAAAGTTGTTATGGCAACATCTTCAGCAACCTCATCCGTGTCCTGCACAGCTACTACTGTCCAGTCAAGTAATAATCAGATCAAAGTTTCATCTAAAAGACCCACTTCTTTAGGTAAAGAGGGTAGAAGGAGTATGAAGGACTTGCTAGCCATGTCTTTCAAGGCTAGTAACACCAAAATGCACTTGGAACAAATCTAGTCCCATAAATGTTTGCATTGTTTCATAAATGCAAATAAAATTCTAATTTGGCTATAATTCAGTTCATCATTCTTATTATATTTAACCTTTGGAAAACGTGAAAATTTGTTCCAGGAAAAGCACTTCTGAATTAAAACATTGCAGACTAGAACTTTAGCATAGTTTCTGTATTTTAATGTCTCCAGATTTAAGCATTTCAAGCATTTTGCTCTGAAGATATAAGCTTTTTTATTTTTTAAACATTTTAAAATTCGTAGTTTAGAGAAAAATCCAAATTTGGATTCCACGGAATTTGAATGCGATGTTTGTGATAATATGCAAACCTGTAAATTTAAGACTTTAAATTTAAAGCCCTGATTCATCAAAACTTAATGGGCATTTATCATCACGTGTTTTGAAGTTATTTAAAATTGAACCTTTATGAAGGTACTATACCTTACTGAGGGAACATATTAGACAATACACTATTTTGACTGAGCAGTTTTATTTTTATGAAAGCTTTGGGTCTTTAAACTGTTAAATCACCTTGATATTACAAAATGCAAAATTAAAAAAATGTCTTTTATCAGCAGTTCTCTGTGTGTAGTATGCACAATAATATGTATACAGCGATTTTGAAATATTAATCGTGTACATCTTTATTCCTTTTTTTTTAGGATTATATTACCTTTATCTAATGTTGGCTGTATGTCAGATTAGAAACTAGCATGTGTACTTTTCCTGACCACCATTTTTTTTTTTGTTGTTCTTTGTAGGTGAGGTATTTCACAATCTAGGTAAAGAGGACCACAGACACCCACCTCCAGTTGTACCTAGAAATAGCCCGACAGGTTTAGCTTCACTCCCTCCTCTTAGCGCCACAACATTCTCTCCAGCCGCCGCTCCTCATCTCCCCACTATTGGAGCTCCAGCTTTCCCAAAGATGGCTGCCACAGCCCCTGGCTTCGTGGACCCCCACCAAGGCCTGTGCCCTCCCTCAGCGGCGCCCCCTGCTGCGGCCACCGAAAGCTCTGTCAGCGCCCCGCCCAGCGTTTGCAGGTTTGTCAGACGGCTCTTTTTTTCCATATTGGTGACGAGCGGGTTCCTGCACACGTCTGCGCCTCCTCCGTTGGCAAAGCGGGAATATACCGTCTTTATGGATGTGCCTAGTTGTGCTGGCAGATGTGACGGCGTGCCATTTAAACATTCAGAGCTATGCTGCAGCTTAAAGCAGTTATTGCCCCTGTAATGCACCGTGAAGAAGAATCCAGACAGTCGTCAACAGGTTCAGCGCCATTGTTTTAATGGTTTTGGTACCCGTCTTCGGTTTCAGTGACCCGGACTGCGAGGGCCATCGATGTGAAGGCAGTAGTGCATATGACCATCAGCAGTACGATGGCGAGGAGAGCCAGGATGAGGACAGCTGCTCAGAACACAGTTCTAGCACTTCGACATCCACCAATCAGAAAGAAGGAAAGTACTGTGACTGCTGCTACTGTGAATTCTTTGGCCATGGGGGGGTAAGACTTTACATCTTTTTAATTTCTATTATCCTCTGAAATTAATCCTAAAAATGCTGTGCTGCCATGTTAAATGAAGCATTTTCAACAATATAGTGAGCACAAATCACCACCACGAATAACACCGCAGTAACACAACGGGTGCCTTGACCTTGTTCATCTTTCTTGGCCTGGAACAGATTCTGTTCGGTAATGCTGTTCCCTTTCAGATTTTCTGAATTTTTCCATATTATGTTTGATCACTGAATGAAGCTCTGATAACGTTCAGTGATCAAATAACACCAAAGTTTAATGTGTGTTTCATTTATTCCATGAAGTCATCCAACATCCAAACGTTGAGGGGAAATATGTTTTTAAATACCCCCAGCCCGACTCTGTATACATGACTACCTTATTATTTAAGAACCATTAAATGAGTGACTTTAGATTTGCCATGGGTGAACAACTCTCTTCGTAAGCCTCTGATGCCGATTTCTCATCGGCAGCCTCCAGCGGCGCCAACAAGTCGGAACTATGCAGAAATGCGCGAGAAGTTACGCCTTCGGCTCACAAGGCGGAAAGAGGAACAGCCAAAGAGAGGTGACCAGCTGCTGGACAGGGAGAGCTTAGAAGACCACCGAAAGGTAGAAGACCTATTACAGTTCATAAACAGCGCCGACTCCAAACCTGTCAGCAGCTCTCGGGCGGCCAAAAGGGCGCGGCACAAACAGAAGAAGGTAAGCACAGATGCGAATTTTTTTTTTGTTCCCACTGTTATGATGAAGTCATAAAAAAATTGAAGTGGCTTTGTAAATTTCAAGTGTATTCCGTTATGTCATTTTGTTCATGTACACTTCCGATGTTCATGAAGGACCATAAACTGTGGAACTGTGTTTATAAAACAACTCTTCGGTGTTTCATTGGCTGACCAAACTACTATGTTTAATTGAATCACAAAACAAAGCTGTTTTTGTAATTTGCTGGCGGTTATGGGTCTCACCCTTAACCGCCAGCAGGTGTCACTTGATCACAGTCTTGTAGCATTCTCCATATTTGTCCCAGCCTGCACCACTTCTTAGCTAAATCCTGTACTACTCTGCAAAGAGCTTGTCAGATCTTGCAGGAAGGATGGTTTTACTGGCAAAAAGTGTTAGTAACAGTTATATAACAGAAATGTAACCTTAAATTAATATTTAATTTGTTCATGTTTCTAAATTCTTTAAAACTAAATAAACATGATCCTCTGGCATATGTAGCCAGTGCAGTTACATATATTTACTATATTCATGTGAAATCCAAACTTGTGCTGTCATTATTCAAAACTTTATTTGTACTGTAACAAGATCATATTTGTCAACACAAATTAACACTTTAATTAAACTATCATTTTAAAATACATAACTAGATATCTCCAGAGTCATCTGCTCCCCCAGTCAGTGAGTGTGTAGATCCTGTGTAGGTCTTATTGTCTACTAGGAACTTGTAGATGACCAATCATTCATGACCATGAGGGATAGTAAATGAACACTAATCTACAAGTCATTGGAAGTATTGAAAAGATTGGGTGACATGACATTTATGTAAAGCTTTAGACATGCAAAATGATTTATGTTATAAAATTCACATTAAAACACTTTTTTAGTTAAGATGTGCTTGAAGGACAATATTGGAATATTTTCTTGTATTGGCATATATCATGCATTAGTTAATAAGTAATTTGTTCAATTAAACAGATTGTGGTCCATAAGGACGTGAGTGCTCTAGTTAAACTTTAAATTGCATAATTTGGCAAATCACCTGCTTAGTTGATCATAATACAGTTTTTTGGAAATGATTTAATGGTTCTATATAAACCTGCTGGATTCAGGGTCTCCAGGACTTCAGTTTAGATCTTTCTAATAACTGGAATGTAAAACAGTGATAAGTGTTCTCCTTGGGAAGTAAATTTAAAAAAGGCAGTTTTTCTGGTAGATGAGATGAGTCAAAATATATTTGATCTTTTTTAGTAAATAATATTTTACCACATTTCTGTATTCTTCCAAGGATAACGTTTTTCAGAAAGTAATCAAATAATCCAGAATGTTGTTGAATTAGTATTAGTAGAAAATACTTTTATAACACTAATGTGTCATTTAAAAACATTAGTATTGTTATTTTGAGTAAACAGGTAAAAGCAGTTTAAAAATATTCACTGCTGGCTGAGGTGGAACTTTATAGATAAAAGCCAAACAAGGACTTTGAGCTAACTTGCTTTGACTGAAAGATAATAATTAATGTTAAATTACTGTTTGCTACAGTGATATATTTGACTAATTCAAAATTCCAGGACCGGTAGATGCATGTATTTCTGCTTTTTTGTTGTCACCCATTGCGCTAGCATTCTGTAATAAGGGTGTTCAATCTCTCAACAAATCTTATAGTAAGCATTTTTTATCATTATTACTTATTTACAGTTTTAAAAACCACCACACAGGACTGAAGATCCGAAGAGTGGATTTTTGTACTCATTCAATTAGATATTTTAACATTTGATGGCCTATTCTTATGTTTTAAAACAGTTCTTTATCATTCCAGTATTTTCTGTGGCATTTCCATAATTTCTAAGTGGAGTTAGCTGGTTGCAGACTCTGTAATCCAAAATATATCTTTTAACAAAAGTCCATATTTGGCTTTCATTGGAACAGATATTTGGCTTATTATCAATCCATTATATACAGAGGTTCCCCAGACATCCACATCTAACATGAAAGCAGAATACAATTAGTTTTAAAATAGAAAAAGCATTTCCAACTGCTAAAATACCCAGGTGAAGCATGGAAGAGCACACTTTTTTCCTGATCCAGGTTGCCACTTTTTTGACACTGTTATTCCAAGAAATGTCTCGACTGGGGGAAGGAATTGTATATGAAGCTTGGATATATACCGAGTATTGGAACCAATGTATTGGAACCAATGGAATGTGTTACATATTTAATACAGAAGGCTGAAAAAAAATAAAAATAGGATTTACATTTGCAGTTTGCTTCCCTAAAGCCAGATGTTGGACAAACACGTCCAAGGTGCAGGGCTGTGGGACCTGAACTGCTGCGCACTGCGCAGGGAGCCATGTGTAACCCTTTGGAGTTTGTCGGAGTTTGTCTGTGGATTAACAGCCCGTGTTCTGTGCTGCGCAGATGGAGGAAAAGGCCCGTCTGGAGGCCGAGGCCCGGGAGAGGGAGCAGCAGCAGTTGCTTGAGGAGCAGCGGCGGAGGGAGGAGGAGACGCTGAAACAGGAGCTGCTGAGGCTTCAGGAGCTCCAGCAGCTGAGGGCTGTAAAGAAAAAGAAAAAAGACAAAACAAAAGAGGTTCAAAAAGCAGAACCTGCTGCACCCCAGAACCCCCAACACTTAAAGGAAACCGCTCAGAACGCATTGGACAACTTTAAGAATGGTAAACCCCAGCTGCTGCAAGACATTATTCAGCTACCCAGTCCTCAGACTGGACCGGAAGACAATAAAGAGCAGCAGAGATTAGTGCATGAGCCCACTATGACTAAGCAGACCTGGGTGAATGGAAAAGACTGTAGGCAGCTTAATCAAATGCAGAGCCAGAAGAACGCAAAGGTGAAACAGGTGGACACACCTGTTCCTCCTGAAGCTCTCATGCAGAAAGAAGTGAATGGAAAGTCAAAGGTAAGGCAGCCACTAAGCAAACTTGTAACAGAGATAGCAAAGAAGTCCCCTGAAATATCCAAAGGTACAGAGTTGACCGCAAAGACTACTAACGGCGCTCAGATAGAGTCTAAGCCTAAACCTGGAGAGGATCCTTCGAGTGAAGTGAAAAGGGAAGACAAGATCAACAGCTTAAACGGCAAGAAGCAGCTAAATCACGTGAGAGAGGACAAGGCAGCTGAAGTCACAGAGCTGCCTCCCCAGGTGGAGCAGCAGAACAGCAAGCCCAGCACAGCCGAATCTCCACAGCCTAAAGGAAAGGCCAAGAAGAACAAAAAGAAAAAGGGAGATAAGCTCAACAACTCCATCGGTGAGTATTGACGGGAAGACTCCCAAACATAATGGTGTTCACATTTGTTTCATTATTACTTAGGTTCTGTCGTGTGTTGTTTGCATTAAAAAATTATCTTTTGTAATAGCTAGCGCATGACTCTTCTTGTATTCAGTTACTTTAATATTGTGCACCCCATTAGATGTATTTATTCTTTTACACTTATGAGAATTAACAATAATTAGACTACTTTATCTCCAGAAGCTTTTTATAATAGTTTTATAAAAAGAGACTTTTTTTAAGACAAGGAGGCATATTATGATGCTGACTGAAATGTTTTTTTTTTCATAAATGTTGCTTTTTATTTATTTTGTGTTATAAAAGGAAAATAACTGTTTTTCTTCTAAGATGATGTGTTCCTGCCAAAAGACATTGACCTGGACAGCGTGGAAATGGATGAAACAGAACGAGAAGTAGAGTACTTTAAAAGGTCAAATATCAGTGTGTTTCCCTGCCTTATTCTAAATTTGAGAAAAGATAAATCTACAGTATTTGCACTGTAGAAGGAGCATAGATGAGTAATATACATATGCCTTGTGTGATAAAAATGTCTTTATAAGACTGGTAAACCATTTAAATGCACTTTTATGAATATTTGCAGAAGTGTTTTGCTGAAAGTAAGAAAAACGCTTGGAGAACTGATATCATAGAGTAGGAAGTGTTGTCTATGTAAATCAGTATAATGATTAAAGTTGGATTTCATTTTCAGTGTATTTGTATATTCTATTAAATGTGTGGTATTAAAGTTCCTAAATTTATAGTATTGCATAAGTATTTTAACTGTAGTACCCACATTTCAGCATTAGTGAATGTGCCACCCATTCAATTTCAGAAAACTTTAAAGATAAATGAAGATTTTAAATTTCTTGGTTTTTTGTATCGTATATTCTGAAGAATATGAAACCTATATAGACACTGGTCATCTCAAAGTCATACAGTGATTAGCAGCATGACTCAGACAAGTCAGTGACTTTATTTTCAAGCCGTCTGACTGCTGTAGACGATTGGAGAAGGAGGTGGAGGTTGGCATCAGCAATACCAGTTGCCTTCATCAATCAATGTGTTAATGGCTGCATTTTGTTTACATAGCCTGGATTAGTGACTTTAAGAATAACGGGTATGTCATTAACAATGTATTACTATCTTTTTTTAGCACACACATATATTGTGTTAGGTATGGTGACAACAGTGAAATTAAGCTATTGTGAATATTTTTGAATATAACTTATGCGTTACTCTCTTTGCAGATTTTGTTTGGACTCTGCTAGACAGACTAGACAGCGGCTTTCCATCAACTGGTCAAACTTTAGCTTGAAGAAAACCACATTTGCTGCACACTGATAACCATACAAAAAGACATTGGCAGGAACCAATCACTGACTGCTGACTCAGCCCTGCTGTGCTAGAAGCTCCTTTGGCCTCTGAGCTTCTGCTGCCTTGCCTTGTCCTTGTTGCTGCGAGGGTCTGTGAAGAACCCGTTTGGCCTGATATTCTTGCAGAACTGAAAAAAAAGAAAAACAAAACAAAAGCTACTTTCTACCTGAATTTGTTTGCTTGTGTGCTTGTAGTCTGTGAGTGGGACATTTCTCTTGACTGTAGCCATATCCTGATGAAGCTAGAACATAAAATGACTTTTGTTCAGATTTATTCTGGCTTCCCCCTCCCTCCCCCACCTATAGTAGTCCAGGCTGCTTACGTTCTGTTTGGATGAAGGTCCTCCAAAAAGAAACCATTAAAACTTTTTTCACTGTAACTGTGGCTTCTATCACACATGCATCCAGCACTTCTTTCAGATTGCTGACAAGGGAATGGGCTTGGTCAGTATCACTCTACTTTACTCCAGCTTTCTACACAATAAGGTTTTAAAAAAGAAGGAGGGCTGATACTTGACAATGCATTTTTCTTTTTGTCTCACAATCCACTGTTCAAAAGTGTTCAAGTTATGTGTTTTTTTTTTCTTCTTGACCTGTAGCCAGCTTGTATCAGATTACTTGCAGAATGGAATTTAAGAAAAGAACAGTACTCACACTATCGAACCTGTTATAGAGTGTATATTGTATTAACACTGAAGCCAAACTGGCTACTTTTTAACATATTGTTAAGTAATATTAAAAATCTTGTCTTTCTTTTTTGAAAGATGGAATACAGTAGTATGGCAGGAAGATTCCTCTGTGTCCTGAATGTTTATTCCTTTCACTGTTCATGAAAAGATATTGTGCTTGTTATTTTACATTTTTTATTGCAGCAAAGGGTTTAGTCTTATTAATGCTCCCTTAAAAGATTAAGATTAATTTTTCAGAATACTGTAAATCTATTATTATTTATACATGTGCTTCAGAACCGTTTTAGCAATAAGTGTTCTACATTATTTACCCCATGCTTGCGGAAAATAACATTTAGAAACATGCTTATGGAAATCCCAAATAGCACACTTTATTAATCAACACACCCCTGGATAGTCACTTTAAAGGTAACACTTTAAGCTAGATATGTAGCTTCAATCTCACCCCCTTACAGTGTCTGAGTAATCACCCTGACAAATTTCTTGATTTTTCTGCATCATGCATGCATAATCAAAAGAAAAGTAGACATTACAGTGTCAGAAACTCACTTTTTAAACTTATCCAGAGTTTTTGCCGCAATGGAAACATGACATCTTCGCATTTCCAGTGTAGTGAGACAGACTGAATTCGCTGGAAGTAACCTAAAGGCACTCATTGCTGTGGGTTTGAATCTAGGTATAGCACATAAAACCTTAACTTCTGTTGAAAATATTCAAGTTTCCTTTTGGAGTTTCTAAAATAACCTTTGCAGCATTTTTTTCAAGGTAAAAAATTAAGGAAATTTGCCTGCGCGTGTAGCGTACATCTTGATGAGGATCATCTTGATCATCGTGTGCAGTGAGGTAGATGTTTTCGCCAATTAAAGCAGGTACTACTTAAAGAGATTATTGGCATTCAATTTGTCTAATACTCAGAGTAGTGTTTTAGAGTATGCAACAGCATACTTTATGCGAAAATATATTTGAAGGTAGTCTGAGACGTAGTATTGCAGATACCATTTCACTGCAAACTGAACTTCAGAAATCTGTCTCCATTTAGAAATGCTTGGTGACTTAAGCACAAAAAATGTGCTTTTTGGTATATTGCTTATAAATATTTTAAACTTTCAAAAAGGCTTGAGAGTAACTGGTCTACTTTGTTTCTGGGATGCTTGTTAATGTCTGTTAAATCTCAATTTGAATTGAGGTTGACTTTCTTGTTCACAATCCAAACATGAAATCATTTACTTCAAGTCTGCCACTATGTACTGTAAAACCACATCTGATTACCCTGTATGGAGCAGAGATTGGAGCAGAGGACACAGAAAAAAAGAAGTTCCAAGGATGGTTAGAATTGGAAACATTTGGTACACTGGTTTAAAAATGCAAGATGGGAAGGTGGAAATCAGGTTGATATGGTCAGAAATGTCAGAGTGAGGAATACTGCTGATTGAGAGAGGTATTTTGAACACAGCAAGAAGATGCGCCAGGCAAAAGGGTAAGTGTTAAATCACAGAATCAGTAATAGAAAAGGAGAGGGAAGATTAAGGTTGCAGTGAAAACGTGAATGCTCAAGACCTGAATGAGATGGGCTCCAAAATGCAGGACGGCAAAATCCACAGCCTAAGAAGAAGAAAAGCACACCTATGATGAAATCGAGGCAGAAAGCAAAAGAAATGGTTTATGAGCATTTGTGTAAGTCCAATAAATCATTAAGGGATCTTCGAACCTTAAAATAGAAAAAAATGAGGAATAGAATTGTCCAAATGCTGGTGTTTAAAATGCTTATAGATGTTTTTATGGCTGTTTTCTTCGGGTAAATGACATTAAGAAATCATTAAAAACTTTAGCAGTGTCATCAATTATTAGGACAGTAATGTGATTGATATTTTGTAAAAAGGGAAAGAAAGATGCCTTTCCGTGCATATATTAACCTCACTTCCACACACAGCTGTACGTTAATCTCCCAGGTGCTAGTCCTAAGACGCTTCAAGTCTGTAACTGCTGGTGACACCTGGTCTGTCAGTTTGGTCTAGTTTCCATTCTGGTAGGTCCTTTGGTCTTGTCTGGAATGTTTTTCTTGCAGTTGGCTGCAGGAATCCACTGCCTCTGCAAACTCATGGATGGTGTTGCAGCTGAAATAGTAACCAGCTACCATTCCACTTTAAAACGCCTCTGATTTAAAGAATGGGTTGTTGAAGGATATAGATGGCCTTTAAATGACTTTGGGCTGTCCCATACACCCTCTGACCTCATTGGCTCATTGTCAGAGATTGAGGCTGGGCCCTTAACCTAATGCTGGTCCATCATCCTTTAAGACATGCCATCTGTGGCCTCTAGGTGGTATGAAAGACCTCAGGTTGCCTGCAATATAGACTGAACAACCTTTTTCAAATACACACGTATGGAGACAATTTTAGATTCTTTGTTCCCAGCGTATATTTGTAATGTCATCATTGACAACTTACAAATTGTAAAAAGTCATGATTTTGGGGTGGTGCCTGTATGATGAAGTCAAAGAAAACTCTTGTCTTTATTCTCTTTGTCCTAACTAGCACAGAGAAGCTCAATGCAGTTAAAGTGTCATGGGTCGCTTTACTCAAACATGCCAGATCTGTCATATACTGACATCTTTTCCATGGTTGTACTGCATGGGTAGGGTGGACATGACTGCCAGCTTCTTTAAAATACTATGCTCTTGGGACAAGTGACCTTCGTCATAGGCCTTTCCGAAGTTATAGATCAGATACAATTCAGTTGTGCAGTAGAACTGACTTGTGAATCTTACTTTAACAAAAATGTAAACAAAATTTATAGATGGAATCGAACATCCACAGTTCCTTCTCAGACTTAGTGGTTGCTAGCATTGCTGAGTGTCTCATTTGCACAGTCTGTGAATTAGTGACTTAGTCTCATCCTGAAAGTATTTGAAAAGTAGGTCTCCATCTGTTACATCACAGATAAGAGCTGAAACTAGAGCTTAGGTATGACTCACAGGACTTGGGGTTCCACAAAATCAAATAAAAAACAAAGAGGTGGTCACAGTCCTTGGGTCATCCACTTTCAGAAGTGTTGTTACCATACACGTAAACAGAGTTGCATCTTTCAAATCTGCCGTTTATGGGTATAAGTCCACAGTAAAAAGCTTAGGAAGAACTGGCATCATTTCAATACAGAGATGTGTCCCCTGAGTAGACTGTTCAACCACTCCAACACCCCATCCCCTGATGCCCCCTCTAACCCCTGTCAAATAAGACTTGGCTCTCAATTAATTTTAGGTTTCATCTCCCCCCCCCCCCCCCACTCCCACGTCACCAAAAAAAATCTTGGCGTTCCAATTCAATTTGAAAGTGAAAATGCTTCATGTTATCAAAATCTTTCCAGGGGGCAACACCCAGAGGTTCTGAACCATTATGAAAGGCTGTGTAGTTGTTAGCAGAGTGGAAGAGATGAGTTGGAAAAAAAACCCAGAACTCAAAGGAGTAATATTCCCCCATGAACAGCAGCAGGTTGCAGAAGGCTGCTTTTAATGGGTGTTACCTTTTAATGGAATTGAAACTGGATATAAATGCACATTCAGATCAGATGTGGAGAACAATACTGAGCTGACATTTTGTTGGAGTTGAAATCCATAAAAGTGACCCTTGGTCTCCCTCTTCCTTTAACTTTCACTGGAAACTGTCAGGTTTAAAGGCTTCCATTTATTTATAATAATACTTCTCCCCAACTGGCAATTAGCAACCCCTTAATAACCATAAGACTAGCTCAAAAAAAAATGTAGAGCACCCTGTCTTTTTAACAAGCCTAGAACAATAATGTGGCTCATGGCTAAACAGGATTTGCACTGGTGGCATGTCCACCTGAGGATTTACTCACACCATGACATTCAGTTGCACTGATGAACATCGGTGAGCACTACAGGCTATATGGGCTAATGGCCCATTCTCGTTTGTAACCTTTCTTATGTTCTTATGCTCACAGTGAATTTGCAGCTCCCTCTTCACACTTAAAGTGCTAATGAGCAGGTTTCTGCAGCAGTACATCTGGCTGTGTGAAAACGATGGATGTAAATCTTTGCAAACTGTTGGGACTCAGGGACTCAGAGATGACAGACTCTCAATAATGAACTGTGCTTGGCTGTAATGTCTTGCAGGATTAGAAACTGCCAACTGTAAATACCTGTGATGCCACAAAACTGTGTGACGAAAGCCCAGCCTGCAGCTTTATTAGGAAGTACGTCTCTTGATTGCTAAGCCATATTGGCCTATTTCTGGTGGTTTTCTTTTTTATCGGACCAAAACTTGACATTCAGCAGGTTCAATCACTTCAACTTCTCAGTGGGGAATCACCTGTCTGCTTCAAAGGTTTCAACTTAAAAATACATCACTCTTCCCCGTTTAATGATTAGCAACCCTTTAACACAGAACTGTAGTAATCTCTGACTATCCCCCAAAGCAGGGGTATATTTAATTGATCCATACTATCTATCTGTAACTAGATGTATAAATATCTGACCTTTCAATTGCTTTTTTTAACTCTTTTTTTCCCCCAAAGGATCCCAAAGAAATTTGGCATATAAGAAGAAGATCCGGCTGATTTTCCACTGAAGTACAGCACCGCCCCTAGGTGCACCCCCACTGCCCAGAAGATGAGGTGGAGAAGTATACAAACACAATCCAGAGGCGGGTCACTGGGTGCACTGTACTTTCCTCTACTAACACATGACTCTGAGATACAAATTCTTCATCGGTTTCATCTCCCCCACCCCCATTTCACGAAGAAATCATCGTGCTCAATTCAATTTGAAAGTGAAAGTGCTTCGAATTATCAAAATCTTTCCAGGGGGCAACACCATGAAGTTCTGAACCATTGTGAAAGGCTTCTTAGTTGTTAGCGGAGTGGAAGAGATGAGCTGGAAAAAATCCCAGAGCTCAAGGTAGGAACATTCCCACTGAGTGAACAGAAGGTGAAAGAAGTCAACACACATCACAAGGAGAATGGAAATTTACCTTATCTCGCTGGCAAGCATTTCTGAGAAAGTCAAATGGCCAATCCTTTTCTATTTCATAAACAGAACGCTTGTTTTGCCTTCCTGTGTACCAGCCTTTTAAAGCTTCTTAAAC